GATGAAGAGTGGGAGGAGGTGGGTAAGAAACCTAAGGAATGATTAACAGAGAGAGGGAGTGGTCGCTGGAATTGTCAGAAGATGCTTGTAACACATACAGCTGTGTGACTTTGGAATGAAAGTTTTTCCCTTGTTTTGGCAGGTGGTCTGGTCATCCTGAATATCCATTCCATGATGAATACTGACTTCAGAGAGCTCCTGCACTTATTTTTCCCTGTGTGTGTACCATGACCTTTGGCTGGATGCTCCCCCCACACGTGGAAGTGAAAAGGGTTTTACTATCCTCAGATGAAGTGGTGATGGGCTTAACTTCTGAATAAAAGAACTGACTTTGACTTAGATATGTTGAAGAAAAAAAATGTTTAAATCTGTTGAAATAATAGTTTGGAATAAAATAATTAAATTGTCAGCAAAGCCATAATGATTTGGTGGTTGTGGGTTTCCATCACTTTTTATTCATTTTACCCAGCTTTAGGGATGGATAACTGCTAGTTTTCTCTTGCACGCTGTAAAGGGAACAAGCTTCAACGTAACTGGTGATCACACTTACTGCCTACCACTCCTGCTCCCATGTATCATACAACCAGCATTATGCAAAATGGCTTGAGACTATCAACATACACAAATAAAACCCTGTATTGTAAGACAGTCCGAAGATAATTATTTTAAAAGAAGGCTTTTAATAACATACTGAAAAAAGCTTTATAAAATGTTTAAAGTATTACTGGGATAATTGTGTCAATTTCAATGACACAAGTTCCAAAGATCACTGGTAATTTTACTCTAAGGTTTTCAAAGTGAATAAGAAGATTATTAGAATTCTGCAAGAGAAATATATCTATTTTCAATTCACTAAAGCAATATATTTTATTCATTTATATTGGGTCACTTTCACAGAGCAAGAAAGGTCTTTAAAAAGTATTTGTCCACCAAATTCTTTAAAAAAAGTAAAAAGTATTTGTCCAAACCAATTGCTTATAATCTTCAATGACCTGAAAACGTACACTTCTGAGAAATTATCACTTTAAAAACATTTGATCTGTACTCATTATTTGCACTGATTCTAATATTAATATTTATAACGCTGTGCTCTGGAAAATGTATTGTTCACAAATATTAATAATCTATGGTAACTTACTCCACCACATGGATCTACATTTTGTTGTGGGGGTAGTGGCCTGTCATCTGAATTCAATTCAATTTTAAAAAAAAGTGATCAAGTTCCTATTACACATTTAGCACT